TTTCCCATTCTGAATAACCGTTAACTTCCCAAAAACACCTGAATACACCTTTTTTACCCATGATAAACAACTTTGAACTGAGTCCTCATGAGTAATTGACACCCAAACTCAAGCATCTAATTTTAGAAATCTCCAATTCAGGTGTCTCCTGAGCAAGGAGCTTAATTAAAATGCCTAAACATAGGCATCTACAACTATTTCAGATGCCCCAAAATATCAGAACTCCAGCTATCACTCCAGAAGGATGTCTCATAGGTCCTATGCCATACCATTGTTGAAGGGATATCTGTGGTACCCTAGTGTGCATGAAATGGTATTTGGCTCCTTTATTTGTCACCTGAATCCCACTGTATGTTGATCAGCCGAATAGCTCTCTGGGCCACATTGACCCAATCTCCACAGGCTGTAAATGGGAGCTTAGACGTTCACAATCACGTGTACATGCCTACATGGTAGAAACCACAATGTTAAGGGTTTGATTCTGGGGCTGAGTCCAGTATTCAGCTACTTGAACATAGATCTTACTCTGTCTGAGACTTCTGCGGACTGATGGCAGAGGTGACACAATACCTACAATAGACCTGCATCCTTCTTGAGCAAGATGCAGGCAAGAAGAGAAACCCAAATGAACCTAAAATGACACTGGACACATAGATTGAAGTAAATGAATCCAAGTTTCATATAGCTTGAATTTCATGGAAGAGAAAAAGCTCCATGTGAAGCAAAGTTAACTTGAGTTTATTCAGTGACAAATTTGGCCAGATAAAGTCTTAACCTTCAGGTTCAGGTAAGCAGAAATCTCATTTTGTGGTCATGTGTTCTTTGAGTTTATCTTTGCAAAGATTTCCACCCACATCCAACAGGTAAAGTGAGAAGCTCTTATACATCTCTCTGAAATTCCTTTTCTATACAGCCTAAAAGCATTCATTTTTGTTACCTGTCTCCAGGGCCAACTTGCTGCTAATGCTCAGTATGACTGGCTGCCTTGTATTTCAAGTAATCTCATAGCTCAAAAGCAGATTGAAATTTTAATAAATCCCTCAGGAAGATGGTATCTGTACCGGGAAGACACTCCTTGGCCTAAATGCTGGTTAAAACAACATCCAAAAGCAATTCAGAGTTGGAATTATATGGTTACAATATGAATGCTTCTGAAGAAACATAATTCATAAAAATCTTCATTTTGTTTGGTTCACAAGAGTTTCAGATATAACCCTTCTGTGTACAAAAGTGAAGGTACTCACCTGAGAAATGCAAAACCTGCCTTTTTTTCCCGAGCAGCAGATGATGCATTTTACATTGAACGCAATGTGCACGGAACACCACTGCGGGCAGGGATGGTCCCTGGCTGAGTCCCTTTCAGCAGTTGTGAACCTTGCATTACTTTCCACCCCATGGCAGAACTCGTTAAGGCAGGTGGAAGAGAACCTACAATGATCATGCCATAGGCATGCAGCGCTGAGGTACCATCTGGTCGTAAGGGAGCTGGGGGTAATGACTCTGAGCTACATGGCAGCTAGGACTCAAGTATTTTGCTTACTGAGCAAGTGCTTCTCAGGTTTAAAAAAGGAAGACAGAAATCTCTTGGATACTTAGAAGCTGGAGTCATGTCACCCAAATTTAGCCTCTTGAACATTTGAATACGTTAACTAGATATCTGGATGTCTAGAATCAACGAGAGTCTCAGTGTAGCTCTCTCAGTGGAGAGAGACAGATCTCTTGAGAGTTTCCATAGCTTCTTCAGGTGACAATTTTGATATTGGAAGACTCACATTGCCCAATCTCTCTTCATTTTCTGGATGGAGTTTGTAAATAACTACCTGAGACTAGGTACATATTAGTAGTGTGTGAATTAATTGTATGAAGGCATTCTGGCACCAAAACCAGAGATCTGTCTTCTGGTGTGTCCTGTCCTCCAACTGGTGTGTCTTGTCCTCCAGACTAAAGCCTCTAGATGACCTTCACACACAGAAACCATGGCAGTGATGTAGCTGAGACTATCTGGTTGAACACAAGCATTTTGTTTCTATCATGGAACTTACAGAGTGGCTACTTGGTGGGAAACTAAGGGTAACCCATGTGAAAGTCAACGGGTAGATTTTGTATTTTTGAGACAGATTTATTCCATCTCATGTTAGTAATCAAAACTGATACATTCAGTCTCTGCAGTTCAGCGAGGACCAACTCTGCACCCACACAGGCCAAAGTCACTGTGGTAGAAACTGGCATTTCAGATTATTTTGACTACACTCCCATCTAGCGGTGTTTACATAATACAACTTCCCCTTCTACTTTTTGGGGACTTCACTTTTTTCATGTGGTCTTTGAATTTCCCCATGGTCTTATGATTTTTTTTTTCTTTTTGAGGCTCACCAAGCTGATGCAAAGTTGTGCTTTGCCAAGAGATGTTGCCAAGAGATATTTATTCATTAAGCTGTTTCCTTCTGGCCTTGGAGACTAAGCAGTCTGAACATTGATTAGCAAATTACAGTCTACCCGGCCTTCTTAAATGCAAGCTAGGAAGCCGAGATTAAAAACTATTATATTATCAACATAATTCCATCTAGGCCCCAAAGTAATCAAAATGTAGGCTAAGAAAATGCTAATTCCAACCAGTGCGTACAGGAAAAGAACGGTTATTTATGTGCATATGATGTTGATGACAACAACCTCTCCAAGGCTGTTGTTTGCTTGATTATCCCCTGGGGTGTTTCACTAGTCTTCGCTCTGAAAAGGTTTTTAAGGAGTGAGGTGAAGGGAGGAACACTCTCTACACTCTCTACCTGACAGAATGGAAGACTTGGTATATTCAGTTGGCTAAAAGAAAAAAAAAAAAAAAAGAAAATATGGAAATTAGGGAGAGGGGGTCTTTGCTGAAAAAGGAACTCTAATACTTTTTTTTTCATGAGAAAATCAAACTCTTTATTTTCTTTAAGACGCATA